CAAAATAAAACCATACAAATTATAAATAAAGTTAATATCTGTGAAGACAGATGGGAGAAACAACACAGAACCTCTGGTTAGGTATGACAAATGATGAGAAATAATGATGTATCCACTATCTGTTAACGGCAATACATTGTTTTTTTCACCTCTTATGTATATTATTTTCTTGACTATGCTGTTGACATATCATTTCTTAAAAATTAAATAAATACATAGAATAATTAACCATGTCCACTTACTGCACTTGTAAAAACACACACACATTAAGACACAGCCCAACTCCATGTAAATACGTCAGTCTGAAATCTTATCCATTGCGCCACGTAAACAAACTAGCGCCTGTCTGACAGTCGCTCACCCCCGCAGCCTCTGCAGCCCAAACAGCACCCCCCCTCCCCCTGATCCGCCCCCTCTCAATGCGGCTCTCACATGGAGGAGTACAAGCTCCATCTGGACAGAGGGGGGAGTCCAAACCGTGACCCTGAAACTCCCTATACTACCATCACCCCATGTTAGGCAAAAGAGATTGTCTGACATCTATGTCAAACACTGATAAGAAAAAACAAAATCTTGGGGGGCCAATTATTTTTAAATATTAGATGAATTGCCCTTTCAAAAAAGTGTTACTATCATATTTAGGGATGCCCATTTTGGGGAAACAAATGTTTTTTTTATCATAGTGACTGGTATTGCAATTGCGATATGATTTGCGATATTGTAGGGAAAGAAATACTATTCATATTATTATTTTAAAAATGATGAGTCTGATTTTTTACCAAAACAAGGATATGTTACTAAGTCTATATAAGTGTGTAGGTTGGGATATCTACAGTATGCAGCACAACTATACTTAATTCAGAGCTATATTTTCACAAATCTGTCTTTAATTACTATTGTTCTCAGCGATTTGGACATTACAAATAGTTTTTTTTTTGTTGTTTTTGATTAATTGTGCAGCCTAGTCACATTGTCTTGGAATATAAATACAATTGCCTGATGTGAATCTTGATATTACACAATATTGAGTCAACAAGCCAGTTTACATGTTCCAAACATCCTCTGTTTCCTCAGAAAAATGCTCTGGTGCAGAGGGAATTATGCATTAGTTTTTCCAGCAGCAACAATTAAATGTGTTTGGATCTAACAGAAAAACAGCAGGGCCGATGTTGAAAGCAGCAATAGTCATCTTGGCCTAACTGACAGAATAATAAAACCACTTTTTAAAGAAACAGTTCAACAAAGTACACTTTCTCTCTGACAGATCTTTATAGACAAAATGTGCGTCTAGTTAGAATAAATCTGGAGTCTGGAGGTGATTAGCCTAGCTTAGCATAAAGACAAGGTATCACCGATTTTTAACAGACTAGCATCCTCCTATTGCCTTTACTTTGTGCTACTATATATTAGTTGAAATTGTTTTTCCACCATGAACACCAACCGGAAGATGCTTGATCTCATACTTGGTATGAATGAGCTTCACTGCTAACTAATTGATGGGTGCTTTTCTGAAAAAGCACCCATCACATCACTGTAAAAATGAGATGAAATGCTTGTTTTGGCCAAAGCGGCCACACAAAAATGTGCAGAGCTTTGAAATACCACGTGTCACTCCTCATTGGAAACAATTGAAAAAACACACACAAAAAGACACTTTGTGGACACAGGGCCGAAAGCTTAACATAATGCCTACCAGCACCTCTGAAGCTAATGTGATGTGTTACAATGTGTTGTAATTAGTTACATTTGTACAGACGTGTTAATAGACAAATCGTGCTATATTAAGGGACACACAGCAGTTAACCAATCCGCCAAGTACTTCTATGCAATGTATTTTACAGACACCATGGCATCCTCACCATGACAACAAGACTAGACTGAAGAACCTGCGCACCGTCAAAGCTTTTTGAAGTTAAGTTACAAAACTTAACTCCCCCTTAAAAATATATTTGTTTTAATTGAATGCACTTTCCTTTAGAACAAGATAACGTAAATGTGTCAGCTTTAGAGGTGGTGGATGTTTTATTTCACTTTAAACAGTACCATGTTATCTGCTCCCCACTGCAAATAAGCAACATGTTGAACCATTTCTTAAAATAGACCTTTTGAAACCAAAGTATGAACCACAGTGACAAGTGAAAATAAAAAGAAGATGCTAATGGGTATGATTATATAGAAACAAATGAACAGATGCTGCCACAGCTAGTGGGTTCTCTGTGAATAGCGGAAGCTGAAAGGTTGTAATGGTTACTAAACACTTTCAGCAGGAAGCGTTCAAAAGCATCTGAGGGATGACAGCACAAAAGAAACACCATAAATACATACACTTATCTTTCCTTTAGGATAAATATACGGTTTAATTTACTTTATGTAACAGTCACACATATACATATATATAAAACCTAAAGATGGCATTCGGTTTATGTAGATTTGTTCTGTAATAATGTTGATAATAACACCAATTTAGTCTCTTTACAATAATCAAACCAAGATAGGTGCACTTCATTTTTCTCTCAATATAAATGTTCCTACAGTTTCCACCCATAGAAATAATGTAGATTTTATGTAACTGTTCAAAGGTTTAAAAATAGACAACCTGTTGCCACGCCAACTGACTTAAAGTGGACCCATTATGCTATATTGGAAACATATATTGTATACCTATACAAAACATGTCTGTGAAGTTTTTTGCTTAAAATACCAAACAGATCATCCATTGTAGCCAGTGGCGTTTTTATATGTACAAAAGTGGTGGGGCACAAAATACGTAGATGTTCATATACTGTATAAGCTTCTGCAGTGACGTGCAATGGCTGGTGAGGCACTGGCACTGACTCTTCAGGTTTACAAATATTATATTTTGACCTAAATCTAAATATTCTATTATTTTCAAAAGCTTTTTTAGTCTGATGCTTCGATTAATTTTAAATAGACAGTTCAACAAAAGGATACCCAAAATAAATATTGGATTGTTCTCTCTTAGTAAGATCCCATTGTCAATAAAATTGTGGTCTTCGTATCTTTTTAGCATTTTTTTGTAATTATTATTTTAATACTTTCTGCTGACACTAGGTGGGGCTGCCCCTAATGACCAGCTGCCACTGCATTCCTCATACTGCTCATACCCCTCTTTTGCAGCCCTGTTAGAGAAACGGGAATTGTGTGTCCTTAGCTTGGAAAAAAAAAAGAGGAGGCGGAGCTAATGCCTGATCAGAATTCTACCGTAGATAAAGTTAAATTCTGCTGTGATAAAACGTCATCCAGTTCTAAACCACATTAAGGATAATTTCTGAAACAGTATGGAGCTCAAATGCTTTTTCTCTTTTTTAAAAGCAATGGGATTTCTCCTTAGGGTTTTGGAAAATATCTCGAAATAAGGTCTGTGGAAAACTAACCTGTTAGATAAATGCACGTTTTGTTCAGACGGATAATCTCCACATGTCTACCTTACTTTTATAATTTTCAAATCATGAATCTAATCGCCAGAAGCAAAATGCTAACGTTATGTTATAAACGAGCTACAGCAGGGTCGCTGCTTTGACGTCACGCCAACTTAAGATCGATATTCAAAAATACAGATTCAAAATTGAACAAGTTGAATCGTTTGTTTTAACAGTTTGCAGGAGGCAGGTACTTGCTTTCAAGCAGAACAGGGCAAACAAACTTAGCGGGAGTGTTTACGTGTTCGGCGTAATGACGTACAACGTCCTCGACAACTTCTGAAGTCCTATTCAGCCACTTGTTAACAACGGTCGTTTTTCAGACACGTAAACTCTTCAGAAATCACCAGTGGGGTCACTGCTGATGTATTTAATGTCGTAGAACAAAACGTGATCCGTCTCTTAAATTTGTGTCAACCACAGACCTTATTTCGAGCTATTTTCCAAAATCCTATGGAGAAATCCCATTGACTCTGAGACGAGGGAACCGGCAGTGGTAAAATGCTAACTCACTTCTGGGTTTTAGGAATCGTCACTGCACCACTCTATTACATTTTTCATTGCTGTACCCCTACACTTAATCAAAAGCTATTTCAAGATATTTTCATTCCAATAAACAACCTTAAAGCTATTATAATATCAAGACAATCTTGTAGGGCATAGGTAGCAAGATGATCATATTTTCCATTCAACCACAAGCTATTTCCTCTATTTTCTCTTCAATAATTCATAATATGACTGATATTTCCTACCAGGCCATAAGAAAACAGGGTTCCAAGATGCATACATTAGTGACTCATATGTTGCTTTTGTTAAGCAGCTTTGCTGTAGCTAAACCCTCTAAGAGCCATACATTTGCTAAGATGGCTAATGAGTTGATGAAAATCAATATAGTGGCGAGTTCTGCTGGTTCACGTGTTGGAAACATTTGAACATGTTGGTGACCATGTTCATGGTTGGATGTTTTTACTTTTTATTCTACTGAATTGCAATTGTGGCACCAAATGGAAGTATTTCAGCTTTGTTTACCTCCTAAGACCCAGGGACTTAGACCACACAGATCAGGATAAGTCCAAAGCCCCTTACAGGCACATAACTGCAAAAGTATCCCTGTTTCAATCATGTGTTCTCATTGAATTATTAGGAATACTAAACATTGGTCAGATTAGGACTTCAGCTGAAGTCGTAAACAATCTGTCAAATATCCAAACTGCCATCTAAATATGGTCTCTCTTAACAAAAATAACTATATTTTGACATCCCCAGGCAGTTCTGAAACCCCACCCTGGATTGCAAATCTACAGCCAGAAGGAGGGGGATTGACAGCTCTTTGAACCCACCCCAAAACACAGCCGACAGCAAGTGAGCGTCCTGCAGCGGGACAAGTAAACATACCACACACTGGCATCACATGGATAACGGACAAGACGCAGAGAGAGTCATACGTCATGCAGAATCACAACCCTCTCAGATCTCAAGGAGAGGCTCTATTAGGAGCAACAAGTTGAAAGAGAGAATGATCTTTTGGAATGGATAGAGAAGGAAAAACAGGTGACTTACCTGACTTGCGCTTGGAGCCATAGTCCCTGAAGGAGAAGCAACACAAGAGGGACATAGTTAGTGACAGCAGATGCCGGTCAAGCAACAACAAAAAAGCGTGCGTTCAACGCATGTGGATTCTGACAGTCCTGAAACGGCAAAAGCTGGAGAAAGAAAGAAGAAAAAAACACATTCATGCAATCGGCTTTAGCCCGCTAACAAACGCATGTGTTTGAGGGAGAGAGGTGGAGAGTGAAGGATGGAGGGAGAGGGAGGAATGACTTTGGCCAGCTGCCTGTGCTCCCCGCAACAGACACAAATTGGTCATGTGACTCGGCAGCGGCACCACCATCCTCTTCCTATACTCCCTCCCTCCCTCACCCTGTCAGAGAAGGCGACTTCTCCCCACATTTGGAAGAGGGAGGATCAGTTTAAGATGCCTTGCTTAATGGATTTTAATGGGATTATGATCGATGTTAAGCTATAGATGGGAGGGGGGGGGCAGCATTGTGTGTGAGGTTTACTGAAGTCTGCCTCAGCCCCTTGTCAACAATGACTTTCTGGACTCTGGCAGCATGACAATTGAGTTAAAAAAGATCGCGAAGGAGAGATCAGGTAGAGACAGTGAGCTATTTATAGAAATGCAAACCTGACATTGTGTCCATCGTCACTCCTTATGATCCCTCCCTTTCCTTTCCTCCCTGACTCTTCCCGTCCTTTTCTCCTGTGCTGCTCAGGAATAATGTGTCCTTTTCCCAGGTCTAATCAGAAACCCTCATCTAACCTCAACTCTTGCCACGTCATGGTTCTGCAGTACGGTTGAAAATCAGACAAAAAACTAAAGCATGATGCTGCAGTGAAAAGCCCAATGCCACTTATCTGCAGTCGTTTAAAAATAACCACCATATAGGCAGTGATATCAACCCCCAGACAGAACATAAGAGCTGTAAGGTGAAGTGTTCTGTGGATGACTAATAGGAACATGACTCTCATTTCAAGAGGAGTTCCAGCCCTGCAGCTGGGGTCTACCGGTACATCCAGGATAACAGAGGAATGTGTGGCAGTGATATGTGTATGCACGCATAATGGTGAAGATGTTAAGCCAGTTAGCGTTTACCTAAAATCAAGAATGGAACTTTTTAGGTTTAAGCTTTAAAAGTGTTGATGTCATTATGTCAATTATTTTAGCAAATACAAAGATATTTTCTTTAACAGTATTCGTAACCATAAATAATCTGGATTTGCAGTAAATTCCCATTAACGAGTGATTGACTCTCTACAAATGATACCAATTTCTAAAAAAGAGAACCTGAGAGTCAATTTTAACGGTTGTGGTTGTGTGGTCTTATTTTAATTTCCTTTTTATTTATCTGCTAATTTCATTAAAGAGATGCACTTTCAGAATATAAACTCATATTTGTACATTTAGCATAGGTAAATGAAAACATAGGAAATCAGAAAAAAGATAAAACTTAAATACATTTTTTTAAATAAAACAAATAAGTAATACAATTAAATAAAAACAAAAATCTAAGCAATAATGTATTTAGAGTTAAATTAAAGCTGATAACAAAGCAATGACTCATACATGTGGCCTAATTTTATTTGCTTTAAGTTTATTTATGGTATTTAAATATGTTTTTAACAATCAAATTCCAATTTCTAAACATAATGGAATCATTCTTATACTCTTTCAAAGGGTGAACCAGCATTTTTGTGCTACTATATTATCATTGCATTATTGTACTTAAAGAGCAACTTGCAGGTTAGACACACCAGTGAATAAATGTATAGGAAAATGGTGTATACACTAGATTTTCCAAAAAATATACAGAAATATACACTACAGTGACATCTGGCGTCGTTTTTGTAAGACATTTTTACTTCCGCATACAAAAAGCCTCGGCACGTGCAGGGCCGCCTTAATGCACGGGCTGACCTGGGCTGAAGACCAGGGGCCTACGGAGATTGGGGGCCTATCATGAGCCAAAAAATCTTTAAAAAAATTAAAATTGTTTTATTTTTTATTTCGGTGTTTATTTTTTATTTTAAACAAACAAAGTCTTGGCTTTCAGAATATGAAACTTTTATTTCCATAATCACATGATAAATACATTTTTGAAGCTTGTAAAGGGAAGAAGACAGCTCTCCCTCGCCACTCAGCGCCGTTTCCCCTCCCTCCGCTGAAATTATGAATGTAAGGCATATAGTAATCATAGATAACACGGCAGGGTCCGTTACAGTTTGTTTTCATCTGATTTAAAATAAACAAAGGCTTTCAGAATATTAAACTTGTTTCGGCAAATTCAGATGATAAATACAACTTTGAAAAGGAAAAGAGCTCTAATTGGAAGCACGCAAATGTCCTTTTCCAATGTTATACCGTTCAAGTAATATTTTGAGCAGTAATCCTCATAAGCAAACCCAATATAGAAACGTTTTTTGTTATAATAGGATTTGGTATTAGCCCAAAATAATAAATACTATTTTCGATATGATGAATTATTGCTGTGATGCAGGCCTTTCTTCTGCCTTTTTGGCCGCTCCAAGTACTGCTGCGGTAACAATATGAATAGTACAATGTGTGTGTGTGTTGTGTGCGATCACAGATAGACCCTCCAGAAAAACACGATCCTGCGATCGCAGAATTTACCGCATAATCAGCAAAATGGCGCAGATTTTTAAAAGGCTGCATATTTATCAAAAGGCCGCATAA